TAATTTCCGATAAAACGGTTTTGATGGTACAATAAAAGCAGGTACTGTAAATATAGTAGATATTACAAGAAATATTAATACCTAGACAATAAATATTTTTTAAGAGATGATTTAAAGGAAGGGAACGTAGTCTTTGCTCGGATGGGTGGGGGTAAGTTGTTCCACACCGTCACACCATGAAATTTTATGGAGGTCTGGGACTGAGAGGAGCACATAGGCACCCAGAGCTACTAAGACCACCCCCTATGCCATAGGGGGTGGTCTTAGTAGCTCTGGGTGCCTTAAGTTATATCTCTGATTATTCCGAAACTGGAAATAATTATTGTCAAGCAAGTGATTGATAGATTTGTAAACAAAGAGGGCAGAGCAGTAGATGTTAATATCCTCGAATTTTAACATTTTCACTTGAGCAAATTTTTCGTTTGTGTGATCTGGTTTTTTTTTTTTTTCAAGTAGGTCATTGTCCGTACAACTCTCTTTTGTGCAGTAACCAGGGATTGTGTTTTTGAAGAGCCAGAGGCCCCCTCATAGTGTTGCACTACATGATAAAATTAATACAAATTGGTTTCTCATGACACTAGCCCACCTCACAGTATCTTTAAAAAAATGAAAAAATATATATTTTTTTAAAATACAGCTAATGAGGAAAGATATTTGATGACCAAAATATGTTTAAAAAAATGATTCTGTTTTGCAAAAAGTTATCCAAATGTTACAACTTCTCAGGTTTGATTAGGAAAAAAATCAATGGTCACAAGGTATAATTACAATATATTCATTCGTCATCGTCATTTGTCCACCGAGACCTGTTTCCCCACATCATGTCAACAAAAGGGATTAAGCAGAGTTGCCAACTTAGCGACTTTGTAGCTAGATCTAGAGCTTTTTGTTTTTTTCTAGCGACATTTTAGAGCGATTTGCGACTTGTCGCAAATCTAGAGATATCCACCGAAATCTAGCGACTTTCTGGATACTTTTGGACTGTCCATGAAAACTCAGTTTTCCTAATTTCGAGCCATAATATATAGCAACGGGATTACAGGGACAATAAATAATATGAAAAGTTTAATACATTTGAACGGGTCGTGGTACAGAAGGAGGGACACGTCTAGTTCCTGATCACTTGATGTCAGCCCGTCCATGCATCTAACACCCTAAAATTGTGGTCAGAAGTGGCAAATTACAGAGATGCGACAGGTGAAAACCCTTACCATGATCTGGCTGAAATTGCACTCGCTGCCTTATCTCTTCCACATTCAAACGCAGATGTAGAGCGCACATTTAGTAATATGAACTTTGAGAAATCAAAATTGCGCAACAAAATGAAACTATCGACATTAAAGGCAATTCTTACAATAAAGTATGGGTTAAAAAGACAGAACACCTGTTGTGCAAGTTATGAACTTCCTAGTGATATTTTAAGAAAGATAGGGACTGTGGAGGCATACAGTTACAAGAGAACCTGAACCAAGCACTTCACATGCTTCCAGCTCTACAGTTGTTCACACTGCCGACGACTACGAAGAGGACTGGGATGCAATTACTATTGAATCAGTGGCGGCTCGTGCATAGGGCTGCAGAGCTGCAGTCCCCCCAGACACTCACTGCCAGGCGTATGATTCCTTTAGAGAGACAGCTGAATAATACACTACCAACAAATATATCATTTTATATGTTATTTAATTATTTTCAATACGTTGCTAAGTGAATTTTCATTAAAATTAGACCAAAATTTAAGTTACTTTCATAGTTGCTGTCAATGCTGTACGATTCATGTCTGTTATTAATTGGCGCCGCCGCCGCACTTGAAGCAGCTCAGTCTCGTGTTTACATTGCGTGTGGACGGTGTGGTTAAATCGTGCTTTCTTTAATTACCCTTTGACGATGGAAAATCTAGTGAAGTATTTGCAAAACATCAACTTTTCCCAGCTGACATTAAATGAAAAGACTGAAATCAAAGCAAGAGGAAGACCTACACCAGTTTTATCCATTCAACAGAACAGTACAAGCAGGAACAAAGAATATACACGCCAGTTTAACATGAGTGTTTATGGCTCTGTGGTTGTGACGAGGCAAATACTTTATTCTGCTTTCCATGCTTATTGTTTGGTGGGGACTCGGCATGGACGAAAAGTGGTGTGACTGACTTGAGGCATTTGCCACAGAAAATAGTGAAACATGAGCAGTCAGCCAAACATATGTTGTGTGAGGCTTGCAGTCCCTCCATTTTATTTTTCACAAGCCGCCACTGTATTGAATAATAGGTAAGTGTGCACATTAATCTTTAAAAAAAATAATATTTTTATTTTTACATAATGCATTTTATTTATACTCCGTCCATTATAGTCGGCATTATGAAAATATTTGCATCAAATTACTGAAGGGGGGGAATAATAGCTAGCGACTTTTCATGGAAGATTTAGCTACTTTTAGGTACCAGCCTAGCGACATTTGAAAACCCGAGTTGGCAACGCTGGGATTAAGGTGTTCAATCTTACTCCGCCACCGCCACTGTCAACACTAACTTGAAAGCGACGACTCCAGACCCGCCACATAAAACCAGAATCCCCCAACAGTCGCCAGGCAAACCACTGGTTACACTACATGAAATAAATGAAAGTGCTCTTCCTCTTTATAATCCAGACATGGCTCATTCCTTATTATATGTCAAGTTTATGTCACGTATTGTATGTGCCGAAAGTGTGTAGTCTGGCCATCGGTCTTAACAATTTTGTCATGTGTAACTCTCCCTGACGCTCGTGAATAAACATTCTCAACGTAATTGCACAACTTTCCTGACGCACACCCAACAGCGTGTAAACCTAAAAAATCATTAATGTGTGCTTATTATCGTGGGTGTGTCAGACAAGGAAACACTCAACACCGTCCATCGTTTTTCCACTTTGTTGACATTTTTTCTTATCATTGGCATTGTTACTTGCACCTGTGTTCTCAAGGTCATTTATCCCTCACAACAGCACGAGGTGAACGCGAAGCCTACTGGTAACGTTGTGGATTCATACTGATTACTTGTATTAATCAGTATTGCCAAAAATAAAATTAAATGCTTTGAGATGTTAGTGTTGGAACTCTCGGTATTTCTTAATAGTCGAAAATATCTGTAAAATTTACTTCCATTCACTAAGGTGTTTTTATCCACCTGTGTAGGAGCTAGAAATTAATTATCATTCCTCTTCAAGCTCACACCGCCATGGGGGGGGTTGTGATGCACCTTTTAGGGATGACTAAACTCTTGTTGATAGCCCGAAGGCAGCCCCTGTAGATAAGACATCTTGCCTACCTGTCAACCATTCACAGTTCACATATATAAACTTTTCCTTTTTATAACACTTTTCCTATATTTCTACATCATAATGGATCTCCAGTTTCACACACTCAGTTTACTCGGTTTTATACCAAACTTCCTCCTCCTGGGCACTACCACCATCACCACCACCACCACAGACTTTCACCTCTTGCCACAGTTCCTGGACAGAGAGACGCTGCGTCATCTCCACACATCCAAGATTCCAGGTTTTATTTACCTAACGGCACACGCCTGCTTAAAATTTTGATTCCCTTTTCATATTTACCTCATTACCTAGTCACTGTGTTGTAATTTAGTGAGGACTGTGTTTCCAATTTACTTGCTTTCTCCAAAGTTGAACATTCGCTCAGGCTGCATCGTGTAACAACCCTTTAATAAAAATTTCGCAGGTATATATAACAGATTTTACTGTCCCCACTTCTCTTATACTCTTCATGAATGGTCGAGGTGTTCCCTAGCTAACTTTTTTTTATAGTACATTCGTCTTTCCTTTCTTTACCACCTACTCTTTTCTCATGCAATTTTAATCTTTTCCACCCCGCTTTCACCTCCTCGTCCCTCCTCGTCATCTTTCTCTTGTGCTCTTTTCCTCCTATCTCTCCGACATTCCCTCTATGCTTCTTTCTCCTCTTTCAGTACTCTTTATCTTTTGTCGTAGCATCATTCTACTGTTACCTCCCCCATTACCACTCAAAGTCCCGGATCAGTAGATTCCAGTTGGAGGTTTTTTTTACGATAAATTGGGCTAGTTATGTCCGAGGCAGATGTCTTTTGGGTGGGCTGGTTTTTTAGTTAAATGTGACATCTGATAAATACATTCGCTTTTATTATATGTAAGAGGATATTTACATAATTACATAGATAGATAGGTATTTAATTCATTCAGTAAAACCGTCATACAAGTTAACAATGATTAAGCATGAATATAGTGCAGATGTTCAATGTATATACAAAATGCAGGTACATAGACAGTGCAGATATACAAACAATGATAAACAGTGAGCCTATTTGACTAAGGATTGATGATGGAACAAAGACGTAAAAATTTGTTTAAATGGGAAATAAATAAGGTGTGGAAGAAATTGCAAGTGAGGTGGGAGAGATAAAATGGCAGCTGAATTATAGTCTGAGTGATAATGCTGAGACGTGAACATCTACCATGGCGCTGTATAAAGGGACTTGGAGTTGATGTTAAGATTATGGTGGAAAAATACCATAAATACAGTTAGCACAGTTAGTGGCTGACCCCGTGAGAATTAATTAACCCTTTTAAAGATCGACATAAAATAAAATGAAATACACAGTATATTTATAACCTTAAAATATATTAAAATATCTCTGCAGTAGCAAAATATATTCTTACTACCTTCATCATCCCTAATACACATTACACCAAGTTTTGCTGAGAAATTCAAGAACTAGTGTTTTCTAAAGTTAATCGGTTAATTATCAACTGTAAGATCCATATCCTCTTTTTTATATATTGTAAATGGTTTTATCATCTTATGCATTACGATTGCACTTATAGCTCCCCCCCAAATAAACTTAGGATCCCCTTCTAAGAAAAAATAATAATAATTCCCCATATTTATCTGCAACCACTTATATACAAGTTATCCCACAAAGAGAAAAGTTTTCTCTAACATGGCATCAACTGACCTTAAATTATAGCAGTCACAGCAACTGAACGTCATACAAATTCTGTACAAATTTCTTTGAGACTCACTTCTCTCTACAGCTTTTTAACATGCCAAGTACCGCCACGTAAAACAGAAGTAAATAATAAAAGTGAAATTAAGTGTTGAAGGTTGAGGGAAGGGGACCGGCATCACTTCTCTCACCATTCTACAAATAGTTGGTATATCCACTCCCACCATGGCCGGGGCTCTCATGAAGAAAGGGTTGGATATCCTCAAGAGTAAAGAATTTAGGGGTTATTTTATGAGGTGAGTTGAGTTAATATAATATAAAGTAAGGCAGGTTGTTATTCATAGCCAATTAATGCCTAATAGTAGGGTACGATTTGGTCACTAGTGCTTCCTTCTTTGGTAGTTGTCCAGGTTTACATTGTGTTTATATTTGTTTTATTTCTATGTGGAAGAGATAATCAATGTTAAGAGTATGATATATGGCTGTCTTCAGGTTTTGATAAGAGAATAGGTTTTTTCTTAAAATTTTTCGGTGTGTTTTACACAAATCTGACCTTTATCTCTTGCAAATTAGCGGTTTTTGCCAAAAATTAAGAAGTTCAATTAAACAGAAACAGCTAATTTGCACAAAAATGGGGGTAAATTTGGGGCAAAACACTGTAATTTTTTGTTAACTGCCCATCGCCTTTTCTCACATATTTTTATGCTAGTTTTCTTGCTGTTTTAGATGATTCTGACATATATCTATGGGGCAAATCACTTTTTTAGTTATTACCACCCCCGTCCTCCCCAACAATGTAGGGGGCCACGTTGGGAAAAAGGTTAAAACTAAACTGAGTCTACGTACTAACCTAACCTTACCTGACCTAACTGGCCACGTCCTACTTAACTGGCTAACACACAAACGAACGAAAGAGAGTGACGTTGCATGTCACCATAACGTCAAATTGGGACTTAGAAAATTTGTGATTATTACGACAAATAAATTGCGAATATCACATTTGTTTTTGGAATCCCGCCAAATTCAAATATATTCTTTCGTTTCTCGAAGAGATTTATTAAATGGTAAGATAAATTTGTTTATAAAGGTGATGGGTGATTGACGAAAAATGTCCTAAACACACCAAAAAAAAAAAAAACTATTCTCATACCAAAGGAACCAACCTACCTAACCTAACCTACATCGAGGAGACATCTAACTCCTAAGTGAGGAGTATAACCTGAATGTAAACATGGCAGGAAACTGCGGACAGCCAATGGACGAATATTAACCCCTTCATGTTCTTGGAGTAATGTAATTGATTATATCAGGTATTCATCACATGGTAATAATTTACTATAGGAGCCTGCTAGAAGGAGCAAATTTAGAAACAAATATATAAAACCAAAATGGCTAATATGGAGGACTTCACAGCTGCTTCCCTACATCTCAGTAGCAGTAAGTTCACCCATGGCAGGTGTTAACTTGTGCTATGTTAGGTTAAGTTAATTTGAGCTTTAAATGAACACTTTTTAACACATAGTCGGTAATTATTGACAACTGACTCGCAGCTGACTTTTCATAGAAAACGATTTTAAAAATGCAGCAATTTCATCATTTTTTTTTATTGGGGAAACTGTTGAAATTTGTGCAAATGTGTTAAAGAGTGGTTATTTCTAAATTAAACCTAACCTAACCTTAGTGGGTATGAAAAACATACCTCGCCAACCTAACCGAACAAACCTACCTAACCTTACCTAACTTCCTTACCAGTCCCCAGACCCCTGGTATATTAAACAGAAAGAACTTACTATGATATGGTGTAATTTTACATTTTTTGTGATAGCAGCCGCCTGCATCAGCATTTATTCCAGCCTGGGCTGCGGAGTGCTTTGAAATACGTCATATACAACAGACTCTGCACACAAACCCGGTTTAATTTTACAGTACTGTATATAGTGAATGTGAAAAGTCCTTTTTAGAAAGATGTTTATAAATAAAAGTACAATTCTGGGTTTAATCTTAGCATTTTCAAGCTAAGTTCCTTTATAAGCTCTAGAACTGTAGTACAAGACCAGCAAGAACCTTCACACGCCGTGCTGAAAATTAAACTAGCGCAGGATGAGAGGCGAATGTGGCCACATTACCACTGGGAAGACAAAGTACTGTAATGCGTGCCTAGGTGCTTAATTATCTACAAAACAAACCATTTGCACAAGAAATTATATATCAGAACTCATTGATGAAAATAAAGTAAGAAAATAAACAGTAAAACAAATAACTCGTCTGTGGGTCAGTCGTCAATATTAACCCATTTGCCATAACTACAACAGTGTCTACTATAAAACATAGTGAAATTGCGGCATTTTTATATTTTTTACTTCAAGAATAAAGCAAATCTGGTGGAGGAATAACTCTTGTTCTATTCTGATTTTTCCATACTTTTCTCCTAAGTAAAGATGCTCCTTACTGCCCACCTAAGAAAGTCCCCATCTTGTTCATTGAGCTTCAGTCAGCTGTGTGTGTGACTAGGAGTAGTCAGAACATTTCATAGATAGTATTAAAGCTATTCTTTTTCCCAGTAGCTAAGAAACTATAGTAGCTGCAGCAAGTTTAGAAAGATTTTTAGTAATACAGGTACTTTCTGAGTGTTTGCAATTTTCGTAGTGCTATTATTAATTGGGAAGGAAGGAAGGACAATCACTGGGTAGGAAGGATCCATCACTTACCATTCTGGGGTCAGTTACTCGCTGAATAACTTGAGACCTCAAATGAAATTAACCAATCAACCTACTGTAACCTAACATGACAGGAGTACACAGGATAGTATTGCAGAATACAGCACAGTATTGTAAATATTGACCAACACAGAAAAGCACAGTTTATCAGACATCTCATATTACCGGGATATTTATTGTAAAATGTATTATGATTTTTTTTTTTTTACAGAATGACTGGAAGGCATTAGTAATCAATGTTACATTCCACAACTTAAGGTTATGAAAAAAAATATATTATTTGAATAGGTAAAGAGTACTTATGGTTTCTGGTTACTGTATATTTCACAGCACACACTTCTGGGGACCTGTTGCAAATTGGGGAATACCTATTGCTGCCATTGCTGATACTAGAAAACCTCCAGAAATTATAAGTGGAAAAATGACAATTGGTAAGTAAACACATTGTATGAGTGTGATACAATATGGACAAAAATTGTATATGTATATTTTTTATTGTAATTATTGTAGATCGTGCAAGTGTGCAATGTTTTCTGTACTGTACAGCAGGCATGGGCAACCCACAGCCCGATCCATATCTTTGTGTGGCCCACAGAGTGATTGATAAATTTTATTTAATGTGGCCCACTGTGCAGGTAAATGCAGCCTGTTTGTGGTGAGTAAAAGCAATGTTTATTAAAAGAATAATCTTCACACACAATTCATTACTGTGTCATCACCTAAGCGTAAGTAACTACGAAAATGTAATAGTGAAATGAATATAAATAGTCAACAATATAAACATTTTAACTTGTGTGAGTTTACAGGCGAAGTTCGGCGCGGTCTGTTTGGTGGATTAGCTGCTATGTAGCAATGGGTCACTTGGTAATTAACTAAGGTTGGGTAAATCCTAGTGGGGTCATGGTCACACAGGTGTGGACAGACTGTCTCTCTCCATAGTGCCTCATCCTTCATGCCTGGCTGTCTGTTCTATTTAATCTTGACTGATTAGTTCTCTCCTATATATATATATATATATATATATATATATATATATATATATATATATATATATATATATATATATATATATATATATATATATATATATATATATATATATATATATATATATATATATATATATATATATATATATATATATATATATTTTTTTTTTTTTTTTTTTTCATTAGCCCAATAAAGCAGCGGACTACATGCAATCAACCTCAACCGCCAGGATTCGAGTTACGTTCGGTCACAGTCGTGGGCCGTGGGTTAAGTGAACAACAGAACATATGGGATTAATTCCAATAGAGACTGGCCCGACCCCCAAACTCCACTTTTTGACGACACACAACTATGTTGTAGTAAAAATTTTATCTTAACTTTATGATGGTATGCACACACAATTAATAATTAAGAGAAATATCAATAATATTAGGTTTTTTAACACTTGCATTAGTAGAAAAGATGGCTGGGCACACGGGGATGGGGGGTTGGTTCCGAGGCAGAGGGCAGATTATTGGCCCTCACCTGTATCACTTGTATCAATTGTATCACTATCCACCACAGAGGCTTGCAGGGCCTCTTTGTCAAACCCCTCAAAGGCCATATAAGTCCATATCCTCACTATAATTATCACTATCACTGACTTGGGCCGGCTGTGGTGGGTGGCGGGTGAAGAACTCGGTAATGTTTTGATGACTGGGCGACCTTGTGCGCATCGTGCCCGCGCCGCTTCCCGCGTATATGATGAAAAATTCCGCGTTAAGTGAAAGTTCAGCTCTGGCGAGGCACCGCGTATATGATAAAACGCGTTAAGTGAAACCGCGTTAGGCGGGGTAATACTGTTTATATATATATATATATATATATATATATATATATATATATATATATATATTATAGCTGTGCCTATAGGTTGTTTCATTGTAGTTCCTCTTGCTCCAAGATTAACATTATTTTGGTGGGTGTCTCATAAGAAAAATGTTTTAACTGTAGGAAAAATCAACGTATTCACAGATTGCTTCACTCATCTTCTGTCAAATGCCAAGAAACATTAATATACGGTACTAGTTAAAAAAATATTATGATGGATTTGTTTCATAAATGGGAAAAAGACTGATTTTAAACTGAAATTATCATAAGGTGAACATAGCGATAAACTGTTTTACTGTCTGTGCTAATACAATATTAACATTACTTTTGGGTTAGGAAGGATAGAAATTTTGGTGGGTTGGCCCTCAGAAAAATACGTTAATTTTAATGCGGCCCATGACTGAGGAAAGGTTGCCCATGCCTGCTGTACAGTATATGTAAGTTGAGGTTATGATGCAAGATATGTGGATGCATTGTCTGTGGTCTTAACTGTCACTTTCTACCTGTTAGTGTTTCAGTAATTAGTATTTATTATTTATAACAACACACAACATAAATCAAGAGCAGTTAATATACTTTTTTCTTTAATGGTCTTTGAAATAATTAAAGAAATTTAAACAACAATAGTGTATTTAAAAAGTAAATTACGCTGTACCCGCAAGTCTTAACAATGGTGTTGAAAATCATCCCATAAAGAAGGATCATTAATTGATATGTTAATGGAGAGATTCTAGTTTAATTTGAGGGAGTTCAAAAAGACTGTCTGGAGAGCTTTTGTGTGTAAGGCTCGCAATTTAAAGATATGTTCTGTATATATCTGTTAAAATTTACATGAAATTTATCAAATGTCTTATAAGACCTTAATGGCAGAAGAGGATACCAAATTTACATACATACACATATAGTACACACATACATGCATACATACATAGTACACACATACATACATACCTGTACATACACATACATACAAACATACATGTTATCTACCAAGTGCTTAAAGTTTTATATTTCTCCCTCAGCACTCTGCTTGTACTCGGCAATATTCATGAGGTTTGCTATTAAGGTCATACCAAGGAACCTTCTACTCTTCAGCTGTCACTTCACTAATGAAACGGTACAAATTATACAGGTAAGATGATTATTTAATTGGACGTTGACTATGACTAAACGACATGATGACTACACTCTGCTACATGAACCTCTTGTTCTCTATAAACACAATAATGAAGCACATTATTAGTCAATCTACGGCACTTCATTAATTACAGTATTTGCTCTCTATCTGGCCAAGACGAGAGAAAGAGGCCCGGGCTATTTGACATCTCCATAATGAACAGATTACAGTATAATAACCTACAAAACAATGTACAGTACTTATTGGATACAGTACAGCCATACTTACACTCTTCATAGATTCTTCCCAAAATACAAAGGTACTTTATAGGTGAGAAAATCCGTTATATTGAGGGTCCGTTAGAGTGAAACCTCCCCATCTCAAGGATTGTATGGAGAGAGAAGTTCGTAATATAAAGGTTTCACCGTACAGTACTCATTTTATGAGAGTAATTTAGTAATATTCAAAACCAGTAAATTTAATTGTATATTTTAAGAGAAAATAATACTTGTAGTGATGTCTTTCCACAAGCGCTTTTCTCTCATTAGGGTTGTCGTTTGATACGGTACGAGTTCTTGGGAGGGAAGGAAGCTACGCAGAAAGAAGCCGCTGATACCACAACAGTCGCCGTGTAAATAGCGTGTACAGTATATATAACTAGTAATCTTCGGTGTCTTGATTATTAATTTCTTCAATTACTTACTCCCTGTTGAAGAAGTTTTAAGTTGTTAAGTTTATCTGTGATGGGTGTAGAACGTAACTAATTTTGGTGGTAAAATTTAATGCACAGTAATACTAAGTGCAGTAATAGTTGTTTGTATCAGGTTAAGAGTATGCTAAATTATGTATTGTATTCTGGCTTGTTTTTCAGTTTTCCTCTGTACTACACTAGTTAGTATGCTGTACATTGATAAATTTTGTAATATAAATCTTGTTAACATATAGTCTGTATATTTGTTGATGTAAATACTGTATGATGGTGTAGCTATTGTAGGTGCAAGGGTAAAAACTTTATCCACAGTTATTTGTGCACTTGTAAACATTTCATAACTCTTCCAGCATTAACAGAGCTATTATATGTGGGATAATTACTTGCATTACAGTACAGAAAAAGCATAACTGTGTTTGTAGATGATATAACCTGTACTTATTGATTACTAATTCTAGGTAATGTTGAAGTGTGGGTAGCTTTTAATATAGTCAATTCCACATGTTATTTTGTATGGGATTGTACTGTAGAAGATGCATAAGATATACATATATTAATCTCGATAGTATGATTTATACCATGATACTGTACAGGCCTGTGTTAATTGTAGACCATGTCGCCCCTAAGGTGAGAAGGAGAGAAGCAGCGTTGACTCTCGCGAATGGTTCCGTAAGTTTGCTCTCTCTCTCTGCCGGTCATCATGGTGCTTATTGTTATACTTCCTTATTCACTGTTCCAAGTCTGGGTTTTTTTTTTTTTTTTTGCTTTTTCAAACTCTTATTAACTCTAAATTTTTATATTTTTTTTTATCAACTGATACTTGTTCTGACTGTAGATATTGCTTAGTTTAAATCTTAACCCTCTGGTGCTCTTGGCCCTGGTTGGTAAATCTCAGTCCTTTGCAGTCTTTTGACACAGGTTGCTTCGGTAAGGAGAACGGTTTTTCCATTTTAGTAAACATTGAATAGAACGATCCAGACCCAAATTGCACCTTTAAAGACACATCAGCCAGCCCATGAGGTTAGTGGGAGGAACTTAGGTGGTTGATAGGACTGGTCCACTGTTCCAGCATTTCTCACTGTGAGATACTGCTGAGCAGGAGGAGTTGTGCCAGCATGGGAGCGCTTAGCGACTCAATTTGCGTCGAAAGACCACGAGAGGGTAAATTTTGGACGAGATTTTACTTTAAGATAACCTGCAGTAATAACTCCAGCGTAAACAGTACAGTATGTGAATTTAGTGGTGAGGCTGTACACATATCTGTTCTGTCTGGGATAAATGAGATTGTCTGCCAGCTAACTACTCTACATAGATTTATATATTTGATTACGCAGTATCTTTAAATATGGTGGGTTTTAATGACAATAGTTATCTCTGCAATATATTAACAGTTTTTAAATGAAAATGTGATAGTATGGATGTCAGTGTGCTTCCATTACAAAAGTTGAGATGTGCTTTTGTTGTGTGGTTTTGTGAATGATCGATTTATTTTTTTAATTTCTGTGTAGTGAACTTTTTTTATAATTTACTGGTACTTGACAGGATACACATTTTGCAAATTCTCTCCCTTCTAGTTTCCCCTGAATTTATTTTAAATTTTGCTAATTGTTACAAATGCCCCGTAGACGTGCATCACGTCTTAGTGAAATTATCACACATTGAATTGAGTCGCTGTTTTATGATGGTCCGGTGGATTGGGTATCTATTTTTATATTATCAGCTTCTCTCAGTTTACTTTTGATTGAACTATATTTTTTATATTTATTAAAGATACTATGTGTGCTTTTAAGGTTGTTTGATTATTTTTTAGTGAGTTTGTTGTACAGTATTTCTGGTGTACTGATAACTGTAATTTGTTAACTTTTTCTGTGGCACCAACCAGGCGGGCAAGGTGATATTTAGTGTAATAATCATGTGTTGTACTAAATTAGCTTTCTTCCCCTCAGCCTCAGGCATCATTACTACCATATCAAGGGTCATGCTATTACAGATATTATGTTTGTCACAAGGTTCACTGACCATACAAGCAAAGTGAACCATCCAGACCACTGCTAAAGTTCTTCAAAATTATTTAATCTGCTAAACTATATACTATTTCCATAAAATTACTCAAATTCTGAAGAAAACACCCCAAATATTTGTTAACTTTGGACACAGGACTGGGAGTTGGATGCATAACAGGTAGTTCAGTATATCCCAGATTACTATTACTTATAATGAGACTTAACATTAACTAGATATGTTTACCCTGCAACTGTTACGAAATGAGAATAGCTTCTGCATAATTGTCTCTCAGTCAGCCACTTAAATCATCCATCCCCACTTCACCTGTACACACACAACACACACCATAGCTGCCATCTTACATGTTTGTTTGTTTTTTCACTTATAATATTCATTGGATAATAAATGTACTGGAGGTTGATCACAAAACATTGACTTCATTATAAACCACATATTCAGTAACACATGAATATATGAAGACAAACTGTGAGCAAGCAGGTGTCAAGTTATTCCCACAAGTTAGCTTACTCGTAACTTCCTTGCATTATGAAGGCTCCGGTGTTATCAAAATATATTGGAGTCTCTTTAGAAAATTACCGAATCCCTAAAAATTTTTTTTTTTTTTTTAAGCATCAAATGTCACCAGTGGGCTATTCCTGCCACTCCTAAGGTCCTCAGTGTGTTGTCATGTCTTGTTCACTGCAAATGTACAACTTGTTTAACGTGGTTTATAGTTTGATATTTCTACATATTTTGTGTGTGGCAACTCTACTACAACCACAGCTGCCACAAGATTCTCACATCAAATTTTCTTCATCATTTAAACAAATATACGAACATTTGGAAACTTCTCATGACCTTAAATAACAATGAACAGTTTATTATTATAAAAATACTACCTTTGGTTTCTTTAATATTTATCCTGACAGTGATACAGCCGAAAACAGATCCACCAATCACAATCACCTTTACATACAGCCTTCCTTTACCAAGTATTGCCAGGTAAAATTGCGAGCACGAGACCCAGGGTGGGGTCGGTGCATCTTTGGCTGACTGTACACTCGGGAGCCAGTACATGTCCAGTACCTGTACTATACTTACCAACAATGTGTAACAGAGACGTGACCGACCGCCCAAGCAGATAACAGGCCGATCAATGGCCAAGAGAGTAAAGATCTTGCAGGATCATCACTCTACTGCTTTTGTGAGAGACACTGACAGAAAGAACAAAAATTTAATTATTCTCAGATATAAATCAATAAAACTAAGTTATCCATAATGAAGTACAATACCACCAGGTGGGGAGAGAGAGGATGGCCTGTGGGTCAACAATAAACTTGTCAGCAGAATTGTGCCAAAGTTTCCTCAAGAGTTTGAAGCACTAATTAATATCACAGCCACATACCGCACTGTAATGTTTATATGATCGGTTGGTCTAACATTTGTTTACACTCGGCATGCAATGGTTACTTTTCAAGGATTACTGTACTGTATTTTAAACATGATTATATTGTTTTCATTTAACTCTTAAGGGCCCACACCTCATTGCATGCAAGCATGATTTTTCAGTGAGGTTAAGTTTGTCTTCTTGCCAAATTGAATTGTACCTTTTACATTATATTCTTAGCTGTGGTGATTACTCTTTTCTTCTTTACCTGCTGACTTTGCCTTTTGACCATTTGTTAAGGTCAGTCCTTGCACTGAGTTTGATTCTACCATTGTCACCCTGTATATATATTATTGGTGCTGTCAACAAACAACACCTGTGCCATTATTTGGTGTGGTGGACAACAAGATTTTGAAAGTCTTGAAGTTTCAGAATTATTATAAATTGAATTACAGTTATCAGATAGAATTTTGGGTCATATTGTTTGTACATTGATTTTGCTCAGATAAACTCTTCCATTGTTAAATGTACAGTTCAGTACAGGTACAGTATTTAAATTGAAAAACACTTGTGTGAGGTTTTAGTTTAGTGCACAGTAGTATTTTAATGTAGTGTCCACGATTAAATTTGGAGATAATTAAGTACCGTGTGTCAAGCGTAAAACTAAGGCAGCCCACTGTTTCAGACTACCTAATATAGTACAGTATAGGCTTAATATTCTGAAATGTTCATATATTTTTTTATCACACACAAGGGACTGTAAACTTGTATGGTGATTAATAACTGAACCTACACAAAGATCTAATAAATATTTCATTCATCCTAAAACTATAAATGCATTTTCAGATAATTTTAACTTCAAACCTTTGGGTATACTGTACAGTCTCTCCTCGACTTATGACGGGGTTCCGTCCCGACAACCAGGTCGTAACTTGAATTGGTCATAAGTCGAAAAGGCGAAAATAATACATAGAAATTCTAAAATGGGTGTCTCTTTTTCTTCTCGGCACCACGAGAACTCGCACTTTTACGCTTGCCAGCCATTTTAAAGGGAATTACAAAAAAATTTTTTGTCAGTACACAGCGCGATCACTAACGTCTGTACTAGAAAATACGTAATTTGAAAAATATTTTATACGACCACGGCGGTATGTCTGGGTTGTCGTAAGTCGAGGAGTACCTGTATTGAAGTTAAGAGAAGTTATCTGGTATGGCTGGATATTTGAACAAGTAAAGCAGTTCAGGGAAATGAGTCAGCTCTGTAGAAAATAGGATTTGGTGTGAAAATGAAAAGTGGACGACGTGTAGTTCTGTAATTTGTATTTGTCCTGTGTATGGTTGTCTCGTCGTAGTTGGGTACAATTTTATTTAGCAAAGGAAGGTAATCCATGTAGTTCAGAGTACTGTATAGTACAGTATTAGAATCTTCAATACAGTAGTACAGTTAGTGAGAATGTTCATTTTGAAAAGGCTGAGGGATTCCTAGAAATTTTTTGACAAATGGAAAAATAAAATTGAGGAAGCAGGAATCGGATAAAAGCACTGGTGAAGAAAATAATAAAGATCAGAGAATGGAAAAACTGTGTTTACTGAGATAACCTGGAGTGGAAGAACTGAGCGTAGTGTATACAGTACCTGTTTACTACACTAGTACAGTACTACCCCCTTTTTGCACTTTACTCCCACGGAAATTCATAATATATCGACAACATTTGGCATTGTACCATTGCGTCATAACCTTTGACACCATCTCATTATAAATCGACATTCCATCAGATTACTTCGACTGACTTGCAGATATTACACGACAGATCACCACAATAGTCAACTGTAGGAATGAATATGGGTGTCTGACAGTATTTGAACCCATAAAGCTATCAAACAGTCTTCTAGCAGTATGGCATTCTGTTTTCAATGTTCCATGTATAGGCAGGTATTGTAATTTCATCAGTGTTATTAAAATTTCCCCTTTGACTCGCATATTTTTATAAAATGTCTGTACAGACACACGTTGTCTAACTGTTATGAAGCGTGTCTCAAGTATTGTTTCAGTAGTATTCCATTTTGTGAAACTAATTCGAATTATACTGTCCTTGTTTGAGTTTTGAACTCTGTTCAAAATAAACTGAAAAATTGTGGGAGTAAAGTGCAAAAAGGGGTATTACTC